GGACGGGGAGAGGGGAGAGGGGGAGGAAGGGGGAGTGGAAAAGAGAGAGAGAAAAAAAATAAATCGTGTGTGTGTGTGTGCGCGCGCGCGTGTGTATGTGTGTGTGTGCGTGTGTGTGTGTGTGTGTGTGTGTGTGTGTGTATGTGCATGTGTGTGTGTGTGTATGTGTGTGTGTGTGTGTGTGTGTGTGTGTGTGCACGCATGTGTGTGTGTCTATACACGCACGCACAGCGCCTCGATCTGTGAATCAGTGTCTATTTTCCTCACCTTGGCCTACACGAGGAGGCAAAGGGGCGTGACTCTCTAATAAGGAGGCGTGGTCAGTCAGCAAGTGAGGTAAATCCCATATCATTTAAGATTTAATTCCACAGACGAAAAGAGAGGGGGAGGGGGAGGAGGGAGATGGATATCGAGGGAGGGAAAGAGAAAGAGAGAGAGAGCGAGAGGGAGGGAGGGAGATAGAGAATGGAAGAAAGATAGAGAGAGGAAGAAATTTAGGGGCAGAGAAGGTGAGAGAGAGAAAGACAGAATCGTAAATATCCATCGATTAAATTTTCATTAATGATTCTGGAGCATAAATGATAAGAGTATAAAACACTGAAGATAAAGATACTGAGGGAAATTCACCTTAAACGCCCATAACACCATTAAAACTCATGATTTTTTGCTGATAGGCTGCTGAAATGACACAACTTAGTCTCAATGTTTTGCCTAAATGCAGATATGAGGTCAAAGGTCGGGGGGAGGGGGCTTAATTTCGATCAAAAGTACAAAAAATAGAGAAAAAGTCCTCATAATTTTGTTTAAAGGTATTTATGAAAGTTGCTTATGAAAAATAAAGAAAACACACACACACACACACACACATACACACACACACACACACACACACACACACACACACACATATATATATATATATATATATATATATATATATATATATATATATAGAGAGAGAGAGAGAGAGAGAGAGAGAGAGAGAGAGAGAGAGAGAGTGTATGTGTGTATGTGTGCAAATAGATACACACACATACACATAGGTATATACAGCACATATGTATATACACACACACACACATATATGTGAATAGACACACGCTTCTGAAGCCCTAGATACGTGGACAGATAAGGAACGGAAAATCAGATACCTACATACCAGAGTCCATAGATAAGACCATAACATAACGAGTTACCAACACCACAGAACAAAAACAAAAACAAAAAAAATAAAAAAAAAACCACTGACATCTTGTTATTATCATCACTTCGAGTTCTTTTTATCTGAGGGTTTTTTTCTGTTTAAGGAGACACTTCTAAAAAAAAATGGAAAATAGATAAAAAGGTGTTCCATATATTCGATCTGATAAGATTTGACCCCTCCCCCCCCAAAAGCAAGACAAGAGGAAAGGAGGATTAAGTTGCATATGTTTGACGATGCGAAGGATGAAAAGAAGAAAAAGGAGAAGACAAAGAAGAAGAAGGAGGAGGAGGAGGAGGAGAAAAAAATTAAAATAATGAAAACAAGAAAAAGAAGAAGGGGAAGAAGAGAATGAAAAATAGAAAAAAAACAAGACAAAGGACGCGAAGAAGAAGGAAACCGACCGTTGCAAATAATCAGGCAAAAAAAAAAAAAAAAAAAAAAAAAAAAAAAAAAGAATAAACACCAGCGTATGTTTTTCTTTCACCAAAAAAATATAATAAATAGAAAAAAGTTTCACCTATTCGCCTTAAATTTAAGAAAAAAAAACTCACAAATAGAAATTAATCGATCAATTAATTAATCAAAAACAAAAAAAAAAATCCCACACACTCATTCCACACATTCTTTTCCCTAATTTCTTAAAACGAGAAAATTAAACCTTTGTTGCACATATCACTCTAAAATATTCGCCTTCTCTCACAATAATAAAAAAAAAGCAAAACAAACAAAAAAGATAAAAAACAAAAAAAAAAAGATGATCCACATATTCGTCCCAATTTCAAGAATCCAAAAAAAAAAAAAAAATCTGCATTCCGCCAGATCAAAGGTTAATAAACAAGTATTTAAAACTCACGAGACACAGAGGTCTCCCTTATTAATTCAAGTGTTGCTCATAATGTAATAGTACCTTAAGAAGTTTTATGGCCTTACCTTCTTCTTCTACTATTTAATGTAGTGCTTCTTGACCTAGATATAACTTACGATATCATTAGGGATTAAAGTCTCCGGTCTTTTTTCTCTCTCTGATTGTCTCTTTTTCTCTTTCTCTTTCTCTTTCTCACTCTGTTTCGTTCTTTGTCTTTCTTTCTGTTAGGTTGTTTTTTTTATGTGTTTTTCTTTCTGTTGGCCTGTTTATTTGTTTATCTGTTTTTCTCTTTCTTCTTCTCCTCTTTTTTCTCTTTCTGGTTATCTCTCTCTCTGTCTCTGTTATTCTTTCTCTCTTTCTCTCTCTCTCTCTCTCTCTCTCTCTCTCTCTCTCTCTCTCTCTCTCTCTCTCTCTCTCGCTCTTTCCTTCTCCCTCTTCCTCCCTTCGAACCCCTCTCTCTCTCTCTATCCCTCCCTCCCTCCCCCCCTCCCTCTCTCTCTCTTTCTATCCCCCCCCCTTCTCTTTCCATCCCTCCCTCCCTCTTTCTTTTTCCATCCGTCCCTCTCTTTGTTTCCCTCCCTCCCTCCCTCTCTCTCTTTCCCTCCCTCCCTCCTTCTCTCTCTTTCCCTCCCTCCCTTCCTCTCTCTCTTTCCCTCCCTCCCTCCGTCTCTCCCTTTCCCTCCCTCCCTCCCTCTCTCTCTTTCCCTCCCTCCCTCCTTCTCTCTCTTTCCCTCCCTCCCTTCCTCTCTCTCTTTCCCTCCCTCCCTCCCTCTCTCTCTTTCCCTCCCTTCCTCCCTCCCTCCGTCTCTCCCTTTCCCTCTCTCCCTCCCTCTCTCCCTCTTTCCCTCCCTCCCTCCCTCCCTCTCCCTCTTTCCCTCCCTCTCTCCCTCCCTCTCCCTCTCAACCTCTTGAATGCTCCCAAACAACAAGAATCCACACTAACTACGATACAGTTAACAAAAAAAAAAAAAAAAAACGTTAAGAAAAAAAAACAGATTTCATTGATATAAACACTGATCTGTTTAGGTAAGTGATTGGTCTCTCGAGAAAAGGTAAACAAACAGACGATATTCATCTGTTATCGATAGTAATGAAGTAAAACAAGGGTCGATATTACGTGTTGATTTCCTTGATTTGTTCTGTTTGGATGGTTTGTAAGTCTACTGAGAATAAGGATGTGGTTGTGTGTGTTTGTGCACGTGTGTGTGTGTGTGTGTGGGTGGGGGGTGGGGGCGTGTATTGTAATTGTGTGTGTGTGTGTGTGTGTGTGTGTGTGTGTCTGTGTCTGTGTGTGTGTGTGTGTGTGTGTGTGTGTGTAGTTATACGTATTTACATAATCATTATTTATTTCTTTACTCACAGGCACATGTTTAAGACACACAGACTACGTAACTATATTTCACACACAATGTATATAAAAAATTCTGACGTTTAAAGAAAAGAGAAAAAAATACATATGATATCTATAAAGAGGGGAAACAAAGGGGACAAAGACACAATATGTATAAATATAGATAGATAGCCAGATATAACATCCAGAAAGAGAAGACGAATAAAAGAGAAAGAGGACACAGGAGAAGAAGAGAAGAAGAAGAAGAAGAAGAAGAAGAAGAAGGAAAAGAAGAAGAAGAAGAAGAAGAAGGAAAAGAAGAAGAAGAAGAAGAAGGAAAAGAAGGAGGAGGAGAGGATGGTCTGTGGCGAATCAAACCCGCAGAGTTAATCAAGTAATCATGGGTAATTTATCAATAAATTACCCCAGGCAACGTTGATTCGTGTGTAAAATACGGATGTGCGATAATGAGAGACTGTTCAGGAGCGAGGTGAAGAAAGAGCATCAGATTGCGAAAGGAAAAAAGAAAAAAAAGAAAAAAGTTAAACGCTCAAAAGATGTTTAAAAATAACTGTTAATTTGACACCAAACAAGAAGAAGACATCGGTAATGAACGTGATGTGAATGACTGACACTCATCGCTTACGCTGAAATCCAAGCTATGCCATGTTGCAATGCTGAGAAATTTGCAACAGGGCGTGTTGTTGTGGTTGCATAGGTCATTCTTGCAGGCTCTGCTAAAGGAAAGCGCTTATTGGTTCACTTGCTCGGTGACGTCAGCATATTTCATGACGTTCTGGAAGAGGATAGGGAAAGAAGAGAGAAATTCACTGATCATAATTAACATGTTTTTGATACTTCCCTGTTTACGAGAAAGGAATAAAAAAAAAAAAAAAAAGAAAAAAAACTAAATTCAGGTCGACTAACTGATAACGAAAGTCTGAGGAGAGAGATTGTACCGTGCCCACTGCAGACACTTTACACCCACCTCCCCCTCCCCCCCCCCCCTTTCTCCCCCCCCGTAGCTACCCCGACTACCTTTTTTTCCTATTCCTCATCTTTTTTCTCTGTCTTGTTCTTAAATCCCCACCAACTTCCACCCTACCCCCCCCCCACTCCGACGTCACCCTAATACCCGCTTCCCCCCCACTCCTACCCCCTTTCCCTTCCCCCCCCCCTTCCATCTCCACCATACTCCTCTAACCCCTCTCCCCCCTATACTCTACATTCTCTTTCTCTGTCTTGTCCTTAAATCCCCACCAACATCCCCCCTCCCCCCCCTCTCTCCACTCCCCAATGCCCCCCCCCACTCCACCCCAATACCCCTTTCCCTATCCCCCTTTAAATCTCCACCATACTCTTTATCCTTATCTTTCTCCTTATACTCTACATTCCTAACCCTTCTTCAATCTCCCACTTCTTTCCCCCCCCTATCCTCCCCTCCCTACCCCCTACCCGCTCCCACTCCTTTAGCCCCCTATCCTCCCATTCCTACCCCCCTACCCGGGCCTACGTCTTGCCCCAGCAGCAACGGGCGCGACACTGCACGACGGAGCGAGCGCGGGGTAATAAATAGAGGCCGACTGGGGAGTCCCTGGTCAGTCTTCTCGCGACTGTCAAGCTGAGAACGTCGGCCCAGGATTCGTTCCTTGACGCACGTGCATCTCTCTCATTCTCTCTTTTTCTCTCGTCTTTTTTTTTGAACGTATTCCCCTCTCGAGTTTTAATTGAACGTTAATACCCGCATCTGAGAAGGGGAGGGAAAAAAAAGGACACTTAGAAATATAAAAAGCGAGAAGAAAGAAAAAAAATACACCTGCATAAGGAAGAAAAAAGAGAGAGAGAGGGAAAAAAAAGACCCAAAAACAAAAACCACACGAGAGAAAAAAAAGAACAAAAGAGCATCAACCATGGGCAAGATAAAGGACATGAAGGAGTACATTGGCACGGGCGAACTCCTGAACGACCGCCGCGTGTGGAAAGCCTTCCTGGCGGAGTTCCTGGGCACCATGTTCCTCGTGTTCATCGGCTGCGGCTCCTGCATCGGCTCCTGGAGCGAAGGCTACGCCCCCAGCGTCGTCCAGATCTCGCTCGCCTTCGGGGTCACCGTGGCGTCCATCGCGCAG